CCGGGGTGGAACAGAACACTCAGCTGCCAGGCATCTCATTGTATTTGCTCCTAATTCTAGAAATACATCTAAATGCATCCAACAGGACTCTGCCACGAGAAGTTAATGAGGAGCGAACATTAATTATTCACGCCCTGAAACAGTAGGTCTCCTAATGTTTTTGCTAATCAACAAGTGAAACAGCTGTATGTCCGTCAGGGCAGTCCTGGGGGAACAGAAGAACAAGGCTGACACATTGGAGTGTCCCCGAAGTGTCACCCTCTGACTCAGAGCGGGGTCTTTGCTCCCAGCCCAGCAAAGGCGCCACAAGTGCGGGAGCACGAGCAGCTCCCGCAGAGCCCAGGAGCAGCCTCTGCATCCCCACAGCCTGCTCCTGCACCCAGGACACGGATGGGACGGCCCGGGGGGCACAGGAGGGACACAGGGAAGGTGCAGGCTGTGCCCAAAGCCAGTTTAAAGCCAGACTTAACTCCCGTTGGGTGCTGACCCCAGCAGCTGGGACTGAGACTGTTCCAGGAGCCCCTCACTCCTCAGTGACCCGCAGGTAACCCAAAGACACGAGCAGCAGCAAAGGGAAGAGTGGATGGAAGCGTTGTCTGACAGAGCACACCGAGGTATGTGATGTTGACTTGGCTCCAAATCATTTTCACATGAATTCCTAAAGGAATGTATAATTTATCAGTGTTTAAATAAATCACTGGCAGGAGAGCTTTAAGGCAGGTCGGGCTATAATTAACTCCCACGTCAGGAGCGGGGCTGCTCCACGCGACACCAAGGCGAGGGACGGAAGGAATTCGGCTCCTAAAAATGCGATAAATGAGAGCAGAGCCGTGGGAACCCCGAGCTGGGGCGGTGCCGGTGGCCCGGGGCTGTCCCCAGGCTCCAGGACAGGCGTTCCCGGGGGAGGTGACCCCGCTGGGGGCTCCTGTCCCTGCCTCTGCCCCAGCGGAGGCACCGAGTGCTGACAGCTCCTGCCATGGGCTCCATTTGGGACGGAGCCCCTTGGCCAGGTAAAACGTATTTTTTAACTTCAAATCCAAGAGATGTTTCTGATAAAAAAATGTGTTTTCCAGATGCCATGAAAAAGTAGAGAAAAAACCTTTTTTTTTTTTTTTTTTTGTGGGACAAAGAGGAAGCCCCAGTGAAGGAGCATCTGGCAGCACTGGCACAGAGCCTTGCCCTGCCCTGCCAGCCCTGCCCAGGCTCTCCCTGGCTGCTCCCTGCACCCAGCAGCAATCAGCCTGCCTGAGACCAAGCAGCCACTGAAAATTGGCTGTGGAATCATCCTGGGGAGAGAGAAACAAAGTGCTCTGTTTATGCATTCAGGTTTTGATCATCACAGCTGTAAGTCTGTCGTGGAATAAAGTGGTGGAAGCATATAAAAACCTCCAGAGAAACATCAGACAAACTTATTTTTCCCTTTTGAACGCCCCTTGTGTCAGTGATCTCATCAGTGAAGGCCCAGACACGTTACACAACCTGCTCCAGAGGACAGAACTGGGTCCCCTGTTTGCAGAGATGAGTTAAAATTAGATTGCCACCTTTGGGAACCCTCTCCAGAAGTTAGTGCTGTATTGCACACAGCCTCGGCTGGAGACAACAAAGAGATTCTGGGCCTGACAATTACACCAACAGTTTACCTCCATGTCACTGCTCCCTTCAAATGCTTCCTGTGGCCATTGGCTTCCTGCCAAGGGGCTCCTCCACTGCTGCTGTGCTCAGGGACCTCTCAGATCACATTTGGAATGGCTGCAGCAAAAAACACCTCCAAAGCCACACACACACAAATGCTACTCCTCTTGCAATTTTTTCTATACCTCTTTCCATTCAAATGGATTTTAATGGAATAGGAAGCAGAAGAGCTTTGGCCACTGAACCCTTCCTGCTCCATGTCAGGATGTGTCTCCTAAAGGACACTGGAATCTGCCCCAGAGCCTTTCCCTCTCCACAGCCACCAGCCAGCCTCGTTCTGCAGGAAGCAGCAAAGTTCAGCTCCTGGCACTGACATGTCCCAAAGCCACAGGTTTTGTATCACCCTCCAGCACCTGGACACAGCAGGTACAGGGAGGGGCTGCAGGAGGGAATAACAGGAACTGGGGAAGGGGCCAAAGACCAAGAATAAAGGAAATAATAGAACACATTGGCTTTCACCCCAATCTGCAAAGGAGTCAGAACTGGCAGCTGTGTCCTGTCCAATAATCCAGAACCTGCAGACCTGTGAGAGCCTGGGAACCCACCCTGGACTGTACAACTTCCCCCAGCTTCTGTTAACCTTTGAGCCCCCCCAAATATCAAACAGCCTTTACTGGACTCCCTCCACCCCATGTCCCCATCCAGTTACCTGTCATACACCTTCTGTTCCAGAGCACTGAGGCACTTGGAAGATTTCTCTCAGCTCTCACCTAAAGCAAACCTGCACACACATTAGACACACATAAATCCCCCTTCACACACCCCCTTCCCCCCAAAGAAGTGATAATGCTCTTTTTCTGAGAGTTGTAGTTTTTTGAATGGTTCTCCTTCCAATTTATTTCGGTTAGAATTTTGTCTTTTCTAAATCTTGAACCATTCCATACTATAACTTTATTGCAAAAAAGTCAACATGCATCTTAGAAATTTGGCTTGTAATCAATAAAACAAACATTACATATATGAATTTTAATGTGTAAACAATTAGAAATTCAACAATATCTGCTATTATCCTATTACACAAGTTCACAATCTGTAAAAACTATAGTACAAGGTTACTATACACCAAGAGGAGCTTTGTTCCTTTTCACATGATTTTGTTAAAGCAGTGCTTTCCTAAGCAGGTGCCTGGTTTCAGATCTGAGGTGGTTTTGCTTCTTTTGCTCAGGTTAATTCAGCACGAAAAGAGAGGGAATTCTTTGCACAGTGACTTCCTTTCCCCATTCCCTCACCCTTCAGTTCTGTCCCCCAGCTCAGGCTGGCACACGTGGCTGGGGCACACAGGTACCCCGAGGGTTCTGTGAATTTCCCACGAAAGCATCACCATGAGCTGACCTGAGCTGCACTGCCCTGCTGCCTGAGGAAACACAGAAACCCAAGACAAACCCTGCCAGGACAGGCCCAGCACAGCCTAAAGCACAGGGGGTCCCTCAGCTTGGGCACAGGGCAGGGCAGCTCCACTGAGCCCCAGCCCCAGCTGTGAGCCCTCTGCCCCAGGGACAGCCAGGCTGGGGGCACTGCCAGCCCCTCGGCATGGCACCTGGCCCTCAGGGCTGCTGTGAGGGCCAACACCAAACACCAACTGAGCTCTCAGACACGGCCCTTGCTCCCTCACCTGTGCCCCTGGACACAGGTGCCACCCCAGTGTCACCTTAGAGATAAAATCATATGAAAAGGAATCCATTCTGTGTGTGTCGAAGGCTACTGCAATTTTTCTTACAGCTTAATTAATCCACTGTAATTTTCATTTTCCAAATACAAAAATACAACAATTCTTATTGAAATCTATACGCCGGTAATTTTAGTACACAAAAAAAGCAAAATATTTACAAAATTATACAGTTTAAGAAAAAACTCTGTACAAAAAAATATATAAATCCTTTTGATCCCTCTCTCTTTAAGTTGTCAGGACTTGGACATGTTTGCTGCAATGGACTTCTCAAGATACACACTGTGCCACAGACATTAAAACCCCTAGAGGTGATGGGAAAAGAGCAAGACATTCTTGTAAGTTCATGGGATGGGTTTCTCCTCCATTTCTTCATGCCTGGAATTTAGTCTCAGCATTAGCAGGACAGTCCTTATTCTAGGAAGAGGAGAGGTTTGGAAAGAGACAGAATACTGGAGACATCCCCTTCAGTTGACAAGAAACAGGACATTATAGAGGTTGGATCCCTCAGCACAGCACAAGGACACTCAGCAGGGCTGTGACCCCAAAGGGTGCTGAGCACCTGCCCCTGGCCACAGCCAGAGCCACAGGCAGGCCCAGGTCAGGTACCTGGACCCAATTCCTGTCCTTCAGCCAGGAATGGCCAGGGCCTACACTGGTGATCACTCAGGAGAGAAGAGCTGTGCACAGACAGTGCTGGTTTTGTGTAGAAATGCACAGAAGCCCTGGCCACTGCTCAGCAGGTTAAGTGGGCAGGCAGGGCAGGTGCTGCTGGGTGCCCCAGGCACGAGCACAGAGCCCAGAGCCAGCCCAGCCCTGGGCTGGGACCCGGGAGGCTCCCTGTGCCACCAGCAGCACAGACCCTGCAGGGTGACAGGGACAGCAGTGCATGGGACATGGCTGGGACACATCTGGGACACATCTGGGACACGAGGGACACCCACTGCACTCCCAGCTCTGAACACCCTTGGCACACTGGGCCCTGGGCTGGGCCAGGCTCAGCAGGACAGCCCAGCCCTGTGGGTGAACCCCTGGAACACAGCTGGGACAGGGGAGCTGCTCCTGCTACACAGGGGCCAGGTCAGCTGCTTTTGAGGAAGACTGGAACTCCTTCCATTGCTCCCAAATACTGAAATGCAGAAACAGCCTGACTTACACTGAGCCTTACACTGAAATGACAAGGAAATCAAGGAGGAGTGAAAATGCACTCCAGTGTGTGTCCCTGCTGATGGCTGCTGTGAAGCAGAATTTGGAGAAACACAGTGAACTGGACAATGTTATAACAGTATCCTGTTAAATTGCTTCTTCCACCTCCCCTCACAAAAAGCAGCACAGCACAGAGACTGTGTGGCTGTCACACATACTGAACGAAATGATTTAAGAATCCAGCCACAAATAATTCCTACAACATGAGACTCCACAGGAAATAAAATGCTCCCTTTTTTCAACGAGCAAATGAGGCCAGTTTTTCTTTCATAATATTTAATGAAAGTTTGTCTTTCCCCTAACCCCGTAATATTGCTAAATAAAACCTGTAATATCTTTTCAATTATAAACTAACAAACCAATCACATTATAAAAAACCCAAAACAAGGTAATACAGGTGACAAAAAGAGGACAAGAAAATACTGATTTCCAACCCCCCCCCCCGCCTCCTTTTTTATCCTTCTTAAATAGAAAAAAAAAATCACTGCCCTGGTGAGCTTGATAATCCTGTAAGAAGTTCCTGGGCCTTTGGCTAGCTCAGTCTCACAGCTCTGTGTCCCAAATGTTCTCATACCAAACTGCTCATGGTAAATCTTGTGGTTTGAAAAGAAAGTAAAGCTCTTTTTGGCTCATCAACTTCCTTAAATAAATGTTTAAAAGATGTAGTTTGAACTATATTCCTAAAATTATACATTTCGAACATCAAGTTTCATCTTCTCCAAGAACGGGATTCATCCTCATCTTCATCATCATCGTCATCATCTTCATGCAAAAATAAATCTGAGGTTTCAGTCTCCTGGAGGAAGAAGAAAATGAACTTTCAGACACAAGTTCCAAGCGTCCAGGGACACATCCCAGCTCACAGCACCAGCTGGGATCGGGTTTGCTGTTACCATGTCCCTCACAGTTACAGCCAGCTTTGGGGTAGGAACAGCAGCCTCATGACAGCAAAGAGAGAGCAAAGCTTCAGAGGAAGCAGGAATAAATCACCACTCACTCTCTCCTAAACAAGGTTTCTGTTAAATGCCACAACGAGGTAACTTTTAAAAGCTTAAGGTGAATTACAGGGAAGAACACGACTTCCCCTACAGCAGAGCACAAAGGGTGAGGAGCAAAAGGCTTTGCAGGCTGCACATGCAGAACCCAAGGCTTGGTTACATCATTGACAAACTAACAGCCCATCCATAAAGTGTCTTTTCTCCTCCTATTTTCTCTGCTTTAAAATGTGGGAAATGTACTTGATTATTCAAAAGCAGTTCAGTTCCTAGTTTGTAAAAACATCTTTTATGAAGTTTCTTCAGCACACAGGAAACTGCACCCTAAGAGCTCTCAGCTATGAGACCCCAGTAAGAACGATCAGGTTGTGAGGAGATTTTCATACCTCTTCCTTGGACTCCTCTTCCTCGACCTCTGTGGACACGGAAGGTACCTTGGGTTTGTGCCATGAGATCTGGAGCCGCCGGTCCTTGAAGCGGGAGCCCTGGTTAGCAGCCTGAGCCACGGTTAAATACACACATTTTCAGAGACAGGATCAAGTGAAGAGCTTCAACATCAGCAACAGGCCAGACCCAGAGTAGCTAAAATCTCTATTTTAGATATGTGAAAAAATACATGCATGGTTCTACTTACATTCTCAGCTTCTGAGCGGGACTTAAAAGTCACAACGACACTTAATGGGGAATCCTCTTCTTGGAGATCTTCAATATCTCCAAATTTCTGTGAGGAAAAGTTTGTTAGGGCTGGCAGTAATGTTCTCCTCCACCTCCATAATCATGTGGTACAATTGTGGTGCACTGAAATCTGATTTTTGGACAGAAAAGTGAGAGCCAGAGGACTCCCAGCTGCATCAGCCAGCAGTATTGCAGCACTTGTATTTTTGGGCCAAAGCTCAGATTCATTGCTATTCTGAGATCTTACAGCAGTAAAGGCAAGGTGTATGAACTGCCAGGTGACACTTACAGAGAAGTGCTGTAACAATTCATCCTTCTCCTCCTCCACGAAGCCTCCCACGGTGAGCGCCTTGGGCCGGTGATCCACCACCATGTGGTTCTGCACGGCCCGGCCCCGGCCCCCGCGGCCCCGGCCCCGGCCCCGGCCCGGCCCGGCCACGGCCTTGCCTCGGCCAGCAGGCAGGATGCCCAAGCGAGCAGCCTGGGGAAAGAGCAGAGCAGGGCAGCTGAGAGGACGGGAAACACCCAGAGCACAACGCCAGCAGCAGCGGGGCTCTGCAGCTCACCTCCACCTGTAACTGGTTGAGCTTCTTGCGCAGCTCGGTCGTGTCCTCTCCAGAGGACAATCTCTTATGGAAGTCCAGCTCTGCATCCAACAGCTCCTTCTGTGCCTGCCAGCAGCAGAGGGGGCAAGAGAAAACAGAAGGAAAGGGCAGAAGTGTAAGGCACACTCGTAAGGTTTTATTCCAATTGAGCAGTACCTTCATGTAAATGATACAGACAGATCAGGACACAATAGCCATTCTCTTCTCTAAATTCAGTTTTGGTTTGGTTGCCTCTAGTCTGTGTGTGGTTTTTGGGAAGGACCCAGTATTCTCTGCTTCAGAACTGGAACAAGCATGAATGAGCCACAAGCAAAACTAGGTCATGGAGTTCCTTCAGCCATGGCTTGCTTGTCCATGGTTATCACTCACATTAAAATGCTGCATGCCATTTTTAAGACATTAATAGAAATAGTTACAAAAACCAAGCAGGCAAGTGTGTTGCACAATAAATACCTCTGTCTTGGACTTCAGTTTGGATGGTGTGGAGGTTGTAGATGAAGTTTTTAATTCATCCTTTAACTGAGATATTTTTCCTGTTAGTTCTTTTAAAGTCTTCATAATTTCTGCTCTCTCTTCTGGTTTCATGGCCTTGTTTTTCTCCAGCTTGGATATCAACATCTATACAATAATAAAGGAATAGGAACATAAAATTCCAGGAAAAACCAGTCCTGAACAGACAGGTATCTACAAAATCAGAATGTATTTACTAGCCACATCCGAGACTTACTTTCTGGCATTCTATTTGTTTTTCTAACATCTCCTGCTTCTTTTTCCTCATATCTTGCTGGAGTTTCATTGCCTCCTATAAGAGGAGAAAATTCTTTCCATCAGTAAAAAGCAGTCAAGCATTATATGTACTCATACAGATCATGTATGTACTCATACAGATCACACTGTCCCCTTCAAGCTATGGGAGTGAAATCCACAACCAAAGTTCTGTCTGCAAAAAGCACAAGTATGAAGTGCAGCTGATTCAATAAATGAAAAATTTACAAATGCTAATTTCCTGCTGTAAGGTATTTTACTAACATTTCGCCCCCTTCAGACACCTCTTAAGAAACATTCTGTGCACTGTCATGCAAGTGTCTCATACATGCAGAGATTAAATCCAGAAAACACCAAGCAAACCCAGAAAGGCCGAAATGGCCAAGGGCATTGAGCAAGACAACCCAAAAGGACACAGACATGATTACCCCAATGTGTGTTTGCAAGGCTGTGCCATAACAATGACCAACTCCACAGCCACTTACAAAGCTGCAGAGGAGTGGCTGAGGTTTCAGGTGCCCACCAAACCTTGTGTTTAAAGCACTTTGCTCCTTACACTGTCAGTCAGCCATCAAACATTAAGTACCTGCTTTTTTTTAAGGGCTTCTTGCACATCATGAGGTTTAGACCCTGCACCAGACTTCAGAGTTGTCTTCAAGTTTGAAGAACTGTAAACCATTTTTGAGTGGCTTGTAGAAGTAGGAAATATCTGAAAGTAAAAAACACACAGTAAAATATGGAATATCTTAAAGTGACTGTGATACACCAGCAGGGAACTTCAGCAGATCATGTTCCCTGAAACACCAATGCAGATGTCACATTTGTGCAAGGAGGCAGAAAGACCAAGGCAATTAAAATACATGGATAAAGACATCAGTCCAGTTAAAAGGATTTCTGAAAAATACTGTCTTTCCTTCTCAATGGCAGACTCCCTTTGCATCCCAGCTCCCACCTGAAAGGGATCATCTGCACTTGCCTTAGTTTCAGCCCTGCAATCACATCCCACTTTCTGATCAAGTAAGGCAGCAAAAGCCACTCCATGCTTCCTTCCTTCAAGGACTTCCCCATGGCTCAGAACACATGCTGCACTACAATACCAGTGTGAATTGAACAGTACTGGCTTGAACTTTGGATACAAATACTCCCTAAGCTTCTAGCATTGCTGTTAAAGCACAGCATAAGCTCAAAAATTACTGGGAGAGCCATTACAACAAAAGGCTGGTCTCACATACAGGTTGTCAGATTTGTTTACTATCAAGCACTACCAAAAATATTTTATGCTATTTACAACACTGTTGGTGGTGTAGTTGACAGTTCCTAAAGTCATTGTCCCTGTTCCATATAAACAGCTGATGAAACGAGGAAGAAGTGACTGACCATGGCTGCATGAAACATTACTGAAAAGGAACAGAACCAAGTGGGGACAATTCACAAGTTCTCTTTGCTGGCTCCTTCCTGGCTGACAAGCCAAAGCTCTACCTGAGAGCACATCCATGGTCCACTCTCAGCATACCTGGGAGTCGTCCAGGCCAGCCCCGGGCTGGCTGAGCTCGGGCTGGCTCCCAGGGGCTGCTCCAAGGCGCCTCTTCACCGGGACTTTGTTGAGGACGTAGGCACCAGATGCCAGGGGTTTGTTCATCACCTGTGTGCCCATGGATCAGAAAACACCAAGGTTAGGTACTCTGCTTTTCTGCAGCACCTGGGAACGCTGCTGAGCCCCCCCAGCCTACCTTGGCCAGGCTGCTGTGCACAGTCACGGCGGGTGGGGTGGCCAGGGCCTGCTGCTGCAGGTGCTGCAGGGCCTGTGGGCTGCCTGCCTGGGGCTGCTGCTGCAGCAAGGGCGGCTGCTGCTCGCTGTCCCTGTGCCACAGCACCCGGATAAAGCGATTGCTCAGCACGGCCTCCGTGCTGGAAATGGCCTTCCTGGCCTCGTCATTGCTCAGGTACTGAATGAGAGCAGCCTCGGGGTCGTTCTGGAAAGCCACCTACAGCAAAAGTCCACAAACCCATTATTGTTCAAGGAATAAAACACTTTAATCGTTAGCAAACCCATCCAAAAATAACGTGCAATGATGAGTTGGGTATCCAGTGCATAAGCAGCTCAAAACACTGGTAAGACATTCGATGTCATTAAAGCAAAGCAGCTTTTGATAAACATTACATGCACTTGCAGCAAAGTCTATATACATTTAAATAAATGAATGAATGAGCCTCCTCCACCAAGAGCATCACGTATTCAGAGCTCTAGGATGCCAAGTGGTAACAAACTGAGGTGGGTAAAGACTCTTCTGCAGCATCCTTGTCAAAATCCTGACCATCAAATACCATAAGACCATCATACAAAACTGTCAGATCATCTCTTTCAAAAGTTATGCACAAGCTGCTCAAAAACCTGAGTTGGTTTAGACACTGTTAAACCTGGCAGCCTTTCGAATATAGCGAGGCATCACAAAGGCAGGAGCCAGTATGTTTTACAGAATTAATATAATAATACACAGTAAACCAAGACAGGGTTTCTCTGAACTTGATTACCTCTTCTCCCAATTTGTCTCCACTAAGATTTCTCAAAGACACCATGCAGTATTCAAGCAGGCTTCAGAGAGAATAAAATACCCACACACAGCCATAAAACTGGACTTTGTTTTTTTACCTGAATGTTTACAATAGTTCCAAATTTGCTGAAGTGTTCATTGAGCTGTGTAATATTGTTCAATTCTGGTGGAATTTTTCGAACTTCTAATTTTGTATTAGTATACTGATTCTTTTTCAAAAACCCTGGCTTATTCTGGTTGTTATTTACTTGCCTAGAGAAAGGAAAAACAAGTAGAGTTCAGGTAAGTACATGTGTGCCTAAGTAAGGCAGCAAAGGTCAACACACATCTAACTGGCATTTTTCCCCTAAAAATGACACCCTCTAGACACTAACACAAGAATTTCCCCCCGACCCCATGTTTATCCCCACATTATGTGGACACAGAGTGTCTGACCCAGCCATCCCAAATTGCAGAGGCTGGTGAGCAGCAATGTTCACAGCACTGGAGGACATTTGAGTTAACATTTGTAGCTAATTCTTACTTTCCCAGCCAGGGTTTCTTCAGTGGTGGACATTCCATGCTGCTTGGAGATCTTTTCCTGCTGTCTGGTTCCAGGACGACTCTAGTGACATTGCTGCTGTTATTTGTAATGGGAATGGGAGGTTCAGTTTGGATGATAATGTTGGCAGCTGGAGGGAAGGGAAAAGGCCTGTGTTATTCCACCACACATGGAAAAGCTCTCACACAGCAAAACAGAACAGATTAAAAACACTAGGAAGACTTTGCCAAATTGGTCAGTTTTGTTTCTGAACAAAATCATTCAGATCATTCCCCAGGCTATCTAAACATCCTGAGAGAAACACACATGGTCCAGCCGGGAGGGACAGGATTTGACCTTTAAGGTTAGTACTAACTTGAAGAAAAAAAGCTAAAACTTCATTTTTCAGGTACTAAAAACTCAGCTTCTGCAGGAAAAGTACAGGAAAAAAAACCAAACAAACCCAAATCCCAACAGAACAGAAAAGGAGGAAAGGAACCATGGATGGATCCCCAGGCTTTAGGTTAGAGCTGTGCAATGGGCAGGGGCTGAAATAACAACCAGCTTGCCCTGTGTGAAACCTTGACAGAGCAAAAGCAACCAAGAACCATTCTTTCCACTGCCATCCCACTGCCAGCCCTCCAGCCAGGCTTCAGCAACAAACTCTTAATTAAGCACAACTATTACACTCTTTCAAGACATTAGATTTAAAGTTTGAAACAAATTCTACCAACAAAAAGTTTGCTAGAAATTGATTTGCAACCTTTTCAAGATTATGCCCTTGGTGTTAGTCTCCTGTGAACGCCAAATATTCAACCCCTAAAAAGAAGTCTGAGTTCTACAGCAATTCCTATGGCTTTTATAGAAGCCAGGGCTCTGCTGGTTACACTGGTGAAAACAGAGACTGGGCATTTCTGGGCATGGCACCCTCACTTTGGAGGATGATCTGAGAGCAAGCCTTTGACACCTGTGATAAAGAGTCAAACAAGTTGTGTGAGGCCCTACCACTGAGCACTCACCCCTGGCACGGGCTCTCAGAGAGAACCCGAGGGGCAGCAATTAATCCCAACCCTGCCTCTGTGACAGTCATTAAGATGCAAACACAGCAGCAATTTCTACAATAATATTTAACCATATTCCTTACGAGATGAGTCATTGGAAGGAAATACTGAAAATAAAAATACTACTAATAAAAAAATTCTCTTTCTTACCTACTGAGTAAGAAATATGGAAGTGTTACAATAAAACCCAAAATTTAACATATTTGGTTTTAAGAATCAGGGCAGGAAAAACATGAGGGAGAAAGAAGGTTTTGCTACCACAACTAAACATTGAAGAGCCTTGACCTGTGCCCATCCCTAAAAGATCCTTTGTACACATCACCACCAAGAGACAGCAGCCACATCCATTCAGGCAGGGGCTAGGAATTACCTAAGTGCAGACTGGGATTCCCATGAGCTGGGAAATTGGAATATATTGGATATTGGATACCTGTGATGTTCATTTCAGAGAGAACACCTGGCTGGCAGAGCCAGACCATGAAGCACCAAAACATGCCAAGTTCCCTTCTTCACTACCACCACAACAGCCAGGGCAAGGAGCTTGGATCATCCCATGGCTGATCAAAAGCACTCTGCAGACTGTGCTGCTAAAGCCATCTTTAGGCATCATTTTTCTTTCTAGGAGCAGCCAGTACCTGGAAAACACCTTTACAGGCTTAAGAGGAATAAAACCCCAACCAACCAACAAAACCCTTGTAGCATTCCCAAGCAAGTGGTTATTTTTAATCAAAAAGGCTGCTTTGACTTTAATATGGGCATGTTAGTGCTTAAAAAAGGTAGAAATGTCCAAAAAAAAAAAAAAAATGAAACACTAGATCAGTGAGAAAAACTAGTGCTTTCAGCCTGAAAAGAGGGAAAGGTGTTGATGATCTTGGATAAAAATAGCAACAGCAATGACCAGAACCCTTCCTACCTCGAGGGTTTGTATCCATCTCCCCAGATGTTAGGCCAATTAGATTTGGACGCTGCATTTGTGCTCTCGTAAAGAACTGCCGATACTGAGATCTACCAGCACTGGTAATACTAGGAGCTTCAGGGTTATAGCCATCTGGCTCATATGTATCTACAAAAAAAGGAGAGAAACGACAGAATTTTTCAAGTGAGTTTAAGACTCGGGGTTAATTTTCCTTTAAGGAAGTGCAGGGATGTCCAAGAGTCAGAAGCTGTCTTGGATGAAGACAAGAGAGGTGGTACAGCCAACCTGCAAACCCTCACCTGATCTTCAGGCCTAGCCTACCTGCACACATTCTCTTTTGGTTTTTATTCTGGTGCTGTTTGTCCAAAGCACACATGTCACAATACAGAGTACTGCTGATACTGGAAAGGCCTGAGGGGTCTTTGTGACAGCGTGCACAACATCTGGCACTGTTTAAGGCAACAACACAGCCTTCGGTTTCAGCACTTATACTGCAGAGTCTAAGATGCAAAGATTTCCAGCCTTTGCTGCACAACAGTCTACTTCTCCTCAGAAAAGAATTTTAGGTGAAGAACACACTTAAATGATTTCAGTCAAAGAAAGTTGAGAAATGAGGTAATGGAACCAATACTTACCTAATGAATTCACTTTATGTAAGAGTGAGATCAGCTGCCTAGCTCAGGTAAGGTACTAATGATCATTTTCATTAGAAGGGGTCACCACAAGAATACAAGATGACAGAATTGACTCCTATTGCTCCTCCAGCCCAAGGTCCAAATTGAGGAAAACACATTTTTGTGACCTTAAAAAGGAAAAGCTGTACAAGAACTAGAATGAATGAAGTCTGTGAAGAGCCTCCACAGGAACAGAACGAGTGCCTGTACAAGGGAACCTGACAGACATGAACCCCTCCAAAATCTCAGTTCCTTATTCTGCAGCAACAAAGACAACTCTACAGTTAAAAACAGATGCCCCACAGTATCCACACTGATAGCAGAGCCTGACACTGTAAAACAAGAACTTTCTCTAACCTCAAAGGAGCTGAACCACAAGCTCCTCTTCCCTGGTTTAGAACATAATTGACTGCAAGAGGGCAACCAGCAGCTGTTACCACAACAGTCCAAGAACAGGACATGAGAATGTCCACAGAGATTCTGGAGAACAGAATTGCTGTGAAGCCCTGTGAGCTCCAACAGGCAGAATCACCCACTAGAAGTTCTGGAGCTGAAAGGATCAGATGGTGACACCTGAATGCCCAACAGGACTTGGGGATAACTGAACAGATTAACTAATAAGAACTTTGAGTGTCTGCAGTTCTGAAAAGCATGGAAGTCACAGATAAAATGACACAGATCATGAACAGAACTAGATCCTCAGTTTGAATAAAATTCAGAATATTTATGTTAAAAAAACCCAGATAAGAATATTATAAAACACTGACATTTAATTATCTTATTTTGGTCTACAGAACATGGAAATGTCATTAATCCTTTAATTATCAAAGAAATGAACTTTGTTGTATTTAAATTGAACAATCTAGGACTTTCCAGGTATTTTGCTATTTCCTTCGTAAAAACATACTTTAAAATTTTTTGATTAGGAAGAGGGACATGTTCAGTGAAAGCTAATAACTTTTAGAAAGCTAAAAGCAGGGTGATTCTGGAAAAAGAACAGAAAATATACTGATGTCTATGAAGATTGTACAGACTATTGAGATATATAGCTGGGGAAAAAAAAAAAGCTCTCATCGGTGTCAGTCCAAACTGGAGAGGAACAAAGCCTAAGTTAAACAGCAATTACAGGTTTGCAAATCCATCTTTCAGCTACTAATGTCCTACAGAATGGCTTGAAGATGAAAGGAACATTTCTTATGCAGCAATGGGATTGCTGTGAGCACATGAAACCCAGAGCTCCCCACAGTGCTCCTCCTCAGAGCAGAGCACTGCTGCCATTCCACTCCACTCCATTCCATTCCATAATGGATGATGGGCTGACCCAGGGAGAGCCATCAGACTTCTTTTTAGATTTGTATATATTGGAGCAAGACAGATCATAATTTCTAATCAATCAACAGAGAAAATTTAATTTTTTCCCATCAAACAGATTGAAACCAAAAGGCATTTGCTTACGTTCTGACACTGTATAGAGCAGGTTCTGAGGAAGAGGAGGAGGCAGCCTTGCTCCCACGGGTGCAAGACTGGGCACTGCGCTTGTCCCCGGCTGCTCACGGCTGTTTATCAAGCTGGACTGAGTCAAAGGAGGTCCTGCAGAGACAGCACAGAACAGATCACACACTGACAGCCCAAAACGTGCAAACAATTCCATGCTGTGTTTGTGCACTGCTCTGAGCAAGGTCAGGGCTCTAAGTATGGCCAGTCCCTCTACAGGAACAGTAAACAGGGAAGCCTGTTCAGGTAAGCTACTCTGACTCCAACACATTTTCTCCTTCTCAGGAGAGACAAAGCTTTAAGGAAAAAGAGTCTCTTTTCTTCCCAGTGGTTTGCTAGAGCTAGAGATGCCTTAACCACAGCAGCTCCTCCCTCAGCTCTGCCATGGAGAGCCAAGGCTTGCTCAGAGCAAGAGATCACATCAGCAGCATTTGGATTGCATTTCCCTAGCTGGCCGTGCTTGGGTTTCCCCATGTACCACACAGACATTCCACTGACTGTGTGATCAAAAAGGATCCCAAGTGACACCACAGCCCATCCTGAGCACTGTCCATTCCCTCACAGCAAGTCAGTTCCTCCCACTGAAGGGCTCAGGAAAAGTTCAGGGGTAATCCTGTATCAAATTATTCCTCATCCCATAATTGCTGATATTGGACATAATTATCACAGCATTTATTTTGTCCCTGGAACAGGCAGCACTGAAATAGAGAACGCACGTCCCTAATATGCTATTTCTTCATAGAATTTATAAGATGCAGTAAGATAACACAAAAGGCTCAACATCTCAGATCACTGCTGAGCTAAGAAAGATCTTAAATGTGTCAATAATGTATTGCTTTCTAGTGGTAGATAATGTAGCACCAATGCATCATTAAAACCTCTAGGAGACCGAATTGCAACATTTTTTGCACTATAGCAGGAGAAACACCTGGCCAGTAAGTGTCAATGCAATGACTACCAACTACCACCGAGGTGAACTGGAGACCCCCAGCTCCGCTCCCCGCCCCATTTAACTCCCCCCTTTGGAGCGCCAGGAACAGCCCGGTGCTCCAGCTGGAGGCTGGGAATTCTTAGTGCAGTGCCGTGAACAGCACAGGAGCTGCAGCGGCTCCCCCCCGGACTCACGCGGCACCGGCAGCACCACGGGCGGCGGCGGCTGCGGCACCGGGAGCCGCAGGCCCCGCACCGGCCCCGGCAGCGGCGGCAGCAGCAGCCCCGGCGGCGGCGGCGGCAGCCCCGGCGGCGGCGGCGGGAACGGGATCATGCTGGGCAAGGAAACCTCGTCCACCACCAAAGGGTCGTTGCCGTGGTCGAACTGGCACAGGTCGCCAAGGACGCAATAGCCTCGCTCTGCAAAACAGCGCGTTTCACCTCGTGTTAGCAAACAAACGCGGGCTTCCCCAAGGTTTGTAACACTGCAGGTGCTCATGGCATTTCTCACTAAAGACAACACGCATCCACTGATACAATATTATATTGTAAGGCAAGGTTTCACAAAATAATTAAAATTAGAACTATCATAAAATCATACAAGCTTACACACGTTCATCATAAAGGCTGTGGAAAAAATAGTCAGAAGTGCTGTGGTTTATTTTAAACACACATACTGCAATCTGCACCAGGAGTGCCAGGGGTTGAGGTATTTGTCTAGCATGCAGAGAACTGTGAAAAAACTCCGTATGTTCTTATCCAGCAATTGCCACAGCATAGCAAACGGCATCCAGTAACACTAGTTATTTCTCCAGTACAATAAAGGTAATTTTTGCATCTGCTACATACAAAGTACACATCTCCTGCCACCGCAGTGTGACTGCTGCTCACATTTAGCGAATATATAAAAAAAAAAAGTCACAGAAACATTGAAATAAGGCATGAAACTGGAAACTAAGGAACAGTTACCATCATAATCCTGACATCTTCTTTTAGGAGGAGGGTTTCTGCCAAATGAACTGGGATTGCTGTGATTGTTGAAGTAATTTGACCAGCTCTCCGTGGTGCTTTCAAGGTGGTGCGCAGGTGCTACTACAGTTACAGCAGTGGGAATAGCTTGTGCAGAGGAATACTGCTCAGAGGATTTACTGGAGGATGCAGACACTGGATTATATGAGCCTTCCATGTCATTTTTTTCACTCTTGTATTTTGATCTCTCTCTCTCTCGGTGCTCTGTTTAAGGAAAACAAAGCTGAGTAAAGCCTTCATGTTTTGCTCTGTACATAAGACACATGAGCAAGAGATAATAACATAATCCCTGAAATACTCACTGTTCTGCACATTGAACTGTTTTTGAGGGAGCTCACTCTTACTTAATAGAGAAATAACTAAATATAATGTAAACAGCGGTTTAACTTCAGAAAGATCAAGATTTTCTTTGCAAAATGCACATTTTACTACTCTACTACTTATATCTTTCTGGTTTACAGCTCTCTTTTAAAGTAGAAAGAAGGGCAAAAGCCTGAAACAACAAACCTACCTCTGCCCTTAACTAACGCGGTCTCAAGGTGCGTGGAATGCTGTAATCTGTGCCACCTACTTTTCCGACAGACCTGAACTAGCCCTAAAAGAACAATCATATGGTAACCACCTGCAACTGCAAAGAAGCCTTCTCTAAAAAACACACAGTAACAAGATGAAAGAGGGAAACACTGCTTTGTAAAAAGTTCAGTCCTTAGGAGGAGAAAAGAGTAACATCAACAGCTTAGTCAGAACACACAGCACAAAAATATGAGCTAGCAATATCCACAGGAATACACCTGTGGATCAATTAAGAGGTTAGCAAAGAAGAAAACAAACCCCTTAATTGCTCTACTCTGAAGAACAGCATCTCAATAATTTCAAGAACACAAAGCTATCAGGATTTGCTCCAGTTCCTCAGGACACAGGAGTGAGCTCGGCTGCAGCAGCCCCGGGTACCCACCAGCCCTGCTGCCATCGCGGTCCTTGCTGCGGCCCCGGCTGCGGCTGCGGCTCCGGCTCAGCCCTCGGCTCTTGCTGCGGCTCTTGCTCCTGCCCCGGCGCCAGCCTGACTTCTCCCGGTACGGGTCACTCCTGTCGTAGTACCTGTCGTAGTCCCTCCACTTGCCGTCATCCCGCTTCTTCTCCCGGCTCCTAACAAAGACACACGTCAACGCGTCAGCGAACAGAGAAACAAGATCAACAAAGGAGCTGGCAACACGGAAACAGACTGTTCAATCCTTCCCCTCCCTTTGGGCAGTGAAACACTCCAGTCAGGATTTCACAAATTACACGATCTTAAAGCTGACTCACTGGTCTGTAGGAAGCAGGAATTGGTAAGGTTATGATACTCAAACCAGAACAGGTTTTAGAAGTGATGCTGACATGATGTGAACAACTGCCCCCAGACCCTACAGACCCCAAAAATATTCTTCTTTTATCTAACAAGGGGAACAATGGAACTGGTGACATTCCTAGGAATTGTAATTTGAAGAATGCTATCATTTTTTTGCAAGAGGGCAACTTCTTGTGGAACTCCTCATGCATGTGATCAGCATAGGAAAAACGTATCACTCAAGGGAAGGAGAAAAGCTCTATTTTTCACAAAAATCACTACCTATAAGGTAAAAAAACATAGTCAGAGATTGACAGCAAATACAGAAAAATTTCTTAATACCGTGGCTCAAAGCTAACCTTTGCTCACTGGAGTCTGCACGGCTCCTCTGGGGACTGGAATATTTCTTCTTCCTGCTCTCCCGCTCTTCTTCAACAGACTCTTGAAAATTCTGTTTAACACACAACTACAAAAAAAGGACGAGTATCACTTTTTTAAATGAAAGAAATTACACCAATATATAGTTCAAGTTACAGACAGCATCTCAAAGAGAACAATACTCAAGTATTACTTGCCCAGACTACTGAAGCACTACAAGTAATCAAGCATTACAAGTAGTCAATCACTTGCGATTTTCCCCACTAGTCTGTTGAAAGGTTTTGGTCTCAAAACTTTTTTTCTGCAGAATAGATGCCCCTAAATAAAACCACTTTGATGTTTTGTTTCTAAACAGGATTCATGAAAGACAAGATCTCTCTCCACTCTGCTGCCTTATTTAGCATAAGCAGCTCTACAAGTGAGGTATTTCCCAAACTTTTAAACATAAAGTCTGGAGTCACCTCTCCAGGTAGGGAAGTCACTAGCTGACATTTTTAATAACTGCTTCAAGGCAAAACCCTGCTCCCATGGTGGAACTGGCCACATTCCTTGCTGGCCTCCACCATAGCAGGTTTAGCAGTCTGTCAGCTGTACCACCACTGCAAACCACAGGCCATTCTGCACTTCTGCTGCCACTTCACACTGCTTACAAGTTACAGTAAATTTGCTTACAAGTTACAGTAAATTTTGGTGGAAAAAGCTGACATGCACTAATCTTTAAAATACTTTTTTTCCAATTGAAATCAAAAGGAAGGCTTCCTGCATCCTTGTAAAACAGGATTATCTGGGGAAAACTGGCAGAAACACTCAAGACTTGGCTTGCCAGGGCTCTGGAGAGCTCCAGCTGCAGTCCTGCTCCCAGCACAAGGTGAAGCACAAGGCACCCGGTGTCCCCTGCAGCCCTGACCTCACTGTGATCCCACGTGGGGTTTATTTTGTGGCCTCTGTGTGTAGGAATCCCACCATACCCTGAGCTTCATGACACATCCTGAAGGCCTTGCTGATGTCAAAGTAACTAATTAACGTCCTGAATTCTGGAACTCTGTCCCATAAAGCTGTCCTAGATATCTGCTTTTGCTTATTGCCACTCCCCTCCAGCCCCCCAAACCTCCTCCTCTGCCCCCACCAGAGCACTGGTAAGACAAGGGAAGGAAATTCTACAGGACTTTCTGTAAACTATGACAGTGTTTGAGAACAGAGGGGAAAGCTCTCACAGTGAAGGTCTTGTTCAAATTATGAACTGCCATAAGCAAAGCTACTTCCATAAACTGTCATAAACGTCCATAAACTGGATGTGTCACATCCTCAGGTAAAAAAGGACATCAGAAAAGAGGAAAAAAGTTTTTGCTTTTAAATTTTAAAATTTAATTTAAATCACCTGATGAACCTACATTAGCATCAATAAGGACCTGCATCTGTTTGGGCTGACCTGGGTTTGGCTGACTGACAATTTCTGCAATTATTTGTCACCTTCTCTCAAAAATTTGATTGCTTTCAATATTGCCAACAGAACTTAAAATCAAGGTAAAATAGTGAATGACTTTCCAAAGTAATTATTCTAATACAGAGGCTGACATATTTAAATGATGTCAAACACCACAGAAAACATTTTAAGTAATTTTCATTCCTCACAGAACATATAAAATTGGAAATGTTTTAGAATGCTTTTGCTGCTTCTCCCTCTCAAACTCTTCCAAGTAATTATCCACTGCTATTGCCAGAGCTGTGAATAGGATTTCTGAGTGCTTGATTGGAGGCAGACTCTGCAAAGGGATGTAAAATGTTCTTGTCTGAATAGTCACCTTCCATGGCTCTTTGGACACAGAGATCATTAGTCACAATAGAGGATATCTTTCAGTCACATTTTGCCTCACAAACGTAGGAGAGCTAATTTGAAAATAAAAGGCAGACAGAATAAACAACATTACCTCTTCCTTGACTTCTTCTTTCTCTTGCCCTGCAGGCTTTGCCTCTGCCTTTGTGGGCTCAGCAGAAGGAAGGTAACTCTTGGTGTACAAACTTTCAAAAAGTTTATCTACAAACCCAGAAGTTTCTGAGGATACAGAGCACAAGAAAATACTGTTACACATGCATTTCAAACATGCTTACATTTACCAGAGAAGACCCTGAAAACTGTCAGCCAGGTGAGCTGCTTGCAGCAGCAGCACCTCAGATTAATGAGCATTAGCTCCACTGAAGCAGCTGAAATTACATTTGTGGCACTTGAGGCTGTTCATTTAGAGAAAAATTTCTCAAGTATATCACAGACAGCAACAGAGACTTCTGTTCTAGGGGGCAAGCATGACTGGAGCCTGTGACCAAGGAACAAGCCCACAGCTACCCACAGGTTCCATCAGCTGCACTCAGCAGCCTCTTTAGGGCAATTTTTATGAGAGTAAATAATTCTCAACACCCCCATCAGCAGTTCAACATCACAAGAAATGCACAACAACCTTCCCAGTGAGTGTCAGACTTTCAGGTGTTTAAACCTTTGACTATGAAGGAAATTGCTCCCAGCAATCCGAAGGATTAACAAGGACCAGGTTTTCAAATGTCACCAACACCTGTCAGAGACGCTTCTGGCAACACTACTGACACTTTAAATTAAACTGTTTTTATTCAAGAACATTTCCTCCCACTCACTGTGAAAAGTCCAAGTTATATGACTTCATCTTATGGTTATTTTTTTTAATTACAAGATCTTTATTCCTCCATACTCTGTAGGAAATATTCATGGCTAGAAAGATTTTGAAGGCAGCAATGGTGCATCAGCCTCCCTCCTCCCCCAGGCAGCCGTGGCCACCACACCTTTCTGCAGGAACACATCCAGCTGGTCAGCACAGAAAGCTTTCAGCTCCTTCTCGGGCTTGTCCTTCTTCACCAACGCCACCACATAGTTGGCCAAGGCAGAGGGGTCTGCATCACATCTGGAGAGGGAGGGAGAGACACAAGTGTGCTGGGCTGCTGCAGGGTGTGACCCGGGGGGCACAGTCACTGCAGAGCCCCCGGGCTCACAGCCAGCACCAGCACTGGGCCATGGGGCCAGCAAAGGGCTCCTTGCAACCACAGCCCAATACTGGAGCTGCCTTGTGAAGCCTTCAGCTGCTGACAAAGGTGTCCCTTCTCTGCTCTTCCTGAGGGTAAAGCTCCTCTCGTTTGCCCAGACAGAGCCACTGGTGCTGAAGCTCCTCCTGGCCCAGCAGGCACAACTCACATGGCTCTACAGGCACAGCAGAGCACTGTGGGGCCAGGGCAGGCACTGTACAAAGACTGAGAAGGATTAAACTGTGTTTAAAAATTAAAACATTGTTAGAAAAGAGTTCAGCAAATGTCCCAGACATCACATAGACAGGTTCTGCACAGCTTCAGTGACTGTCCTGATGTGCTGGGGTTTCCTCCTCAAGGACACTTCCATGCCATATTTTACAGCAACCTTTGAATGCGGGTAGAACACCTAAAGGGGAGCAATCACTGACCCAGGTTCTCTCCTCACATTCCCTCACCTGTGTCTGGCTCCACAAAGAACAAAGACACCAACTTTGTGCAGGGATACCTCACCACTAATCTTTGAACTGGATATTGCTTTAGATGCCGTTATCGAGCTGCTAGGAGCACCCCAGGTATGAAATAGAGTAACAGTGTGACTAAGTGACACCTCCTTGTTTGGCCTCTCAGAGGGTGAACGTGCCAGATATCAGGTGGGGAGAGAAACCTAAAATACTCAGAAGATATATTTTTTTAATTAACATTTAAAGAGGTGATTGTGCATTTTCTAAGAACAGTAACTCTGGAAATAGAAAGAAAAATTCTGAAGTATATATACCTCAAAATAATCTCAAGTAAGAAAAAGATCCAGAAAATAAGCAAAAAGGCAAAAAGCCAAGCAGAGGGCAACAGGTGTTGGAAATAAAATTCCTCAATGAGCAGCAATCAAGCAGCTCTGCTCTCATATAGCCTCCAACAACATCCAACCTCCATTGAAAGCCAGGGTAAATGGAGCAATTAAGAACAAAGAAACCACAAATTGACAGATTTTACAATTCTTACACACACAGAGAAATAACCTGTATGTGATGCATACACTGTGTGTGATGTGCTGGGGCCCTCACCCACTGACTATAAATCTTCAATTTCAAATAGAGGAGACAATTCCTCACTTCATAACCATTACCCTTCCTTCCTCCATACATCAGTCCCTCCCAGGCACCCCATCCCACGATGGGGTACAGGAGCACACAAGGTGAGTGCAACTCCTCCAGGTCACTCCAGTGCCACTCCAGAGTCCCTGACTGCCAGGGCCCACTGGCCAATTCCTTGATTTTCTGCCTCTCATTCCCAGGGCAGCTCAAATGCCCAAGGAACGCTGGACACTGACTGGAGCCGGCAGGGCAAGTGCAGGAGCAGGAGCCATGCTCCAGTCTAGAGACTTTCAGCGGGGGTTGACCAAAAAATCAGAGAAACGTGATTGTAACAAAGGAAAAAAAGTTGTGAAGCACTTCTAAAAGTCTAATACTTAATGATGGCAACTGAGCAGACCTAAGGCCTACTAAAAACTCTTCTCATGGGCCTCGGCTGTGCTTCATGGGAGACCCAAGCCTGGCCAGGCACTCACAGCAGCTTCCCCTGGCGAGACCCAGCCAGCCCTCGCTGTGCCTGCACCACCAGCACAAACCCAGCACTGCTTTGCAGCCAGGATGAGTTATCAGAGCACATAAAATGCAAGACATGACCTGGGTCCATGCTGACTCCATCCCAGTCCCGTTCCCACTGTAAGCAGCAGCAAGATGTAAACGCAGAGTTCCCACGTTTCAACATTATTCCTGACTTTGTCAGCTCTTGCAGCAGCCCCTGGCTCTGCTCTGAGATAACAGAGCTGGGACTGAAGTCGACAGCACACCCGGGGCAGCAGTGGGGAGCACACAGAATCACAAAGCTTGGAAAAGAATTCCCAGACCACCAAATTCCATCAATGCCCGATGCCTGCCTTGTCACCCAGGGCAGAGCACTGAGTGCCACGTGAGCCCTTCCTTGGACACCTCCAGGTGTGACGACTCCAAACCTCCCTGCCAAGGCCTGACCACCTTTTCCATTAAGAAATTCTTCCTAGTGTTCACCCTCAGCCTCCCCTGGCCCAGCCTGAGGCTGTTCCCTCTCCTCCTGTCCCTGTTCCCAGATCCCAAATCCCTCCCGGCTGTTCCCTCCTGTCAGGGAGTTGTGCAGAGCCACAAGGGCCCCCCCTGAGCCTCCTTTTCTCCAGGCTGAGCCCCCCCAGCTGCTCCTCATCAGCCTCGTGCTCCAAACCCTTCCCCAGCTCCGCTGCACGTTGTGGGACAGAAGGCCCCCGGCACCTCCCGGGCCCGGGCTATCCCGCACTCCGGGCGCGCCGGGCCCGGGCCGGGCCAGGGCCGTAACGCCTCGGCCGGGCCCTGCCCGCGGGAAGCGCCGTGCGCCCGGTCCGCCCGGTCCGCTCGCCCGCACTCACATGGGCTCCAGCAGCTTGGCCAGCCAGGACTTGAGCGCGTCGACGCTCTCGATGATCATGGTGGCCCCGCGCCGCCCGCTCTCAGCTACACCGCCGCCATCGCCGCGACCTGCCCGGCACCGCCCGCAGCGCAGCCTGCTGGGCATGGCCGGGGCGGGGCCACGCCGCCGGCACCAATCACAAAGCGCCGCTCCGCGCTGCCGACCAATGGCAGCAGCCCAGAGCCCGAGCCGAGGGTCAGGGAGAACCAGCAAGTTCGGTAGAGCGAGCACATGAACCCGCGGCGACATCTTGGGGGGGCGCTCTTAAAGGGCCAGCGTGCCGGCGGGCGCACACCTCGGACAGGCACAGCGGGCTCATTTCCCCGTCCCCGGCCGGGACGAGCGGCCGCAGCGATCGCTCCGTTCTATCTGCCCCCCGCCTTCCTTCTCCCTCCTCCCTTCAGGCTAAAGAGGGCCCGGTGTCCCCCCGCGCGCTGCCTTGGTGCGGGCTGGGCTCCCCCGCTGGCTGCCGCGTTGGCACGGCCCGTGCGGCCCCATCAGGCGCGGCAATATGGCGGTGAGTGCGGGAGCCGGGCCGGGCTTTGGCTTTGGGGCTCTCGGGGGTCTCTCACCGGCTCCTCTGGGTCGCTCTTCACCGTCGCGGTGTCCGGGCACAGGGTCCCATAGCGGCATGCGGGGGCCTTTACCCGGCGGCTGCGGCCCCTTGGTGTAAAGGTCTTAGGATTGTCTTGGTTTCGATGGGGAAAAGCTAAACCCTCCACCTTTACGAGTGCAGAATGCGTGTGTCCTTTAACAATTCCTGTGTGCTTTATGGTGAAAGAATAAGATCCTTCAATACTTGCTATGTGTTATGTGATAAAAGAACGAGGGGAAGGGCTACTGAGCACTGATTTACTTAAAATCGCTCTCTTTCCCTGACGAGCTCCACGAACTACAATTGCAGTTGTTTCCGAGCCCTCTTCCTGCGCAGGGAGCGCTGTGTCTGCCTCATACACGTCAAGAGGAGGATGCATTGTATGGGTTTATGGAGAGTGGAATAAAACCAAAATTCTGTGGGTGTTTTCACTTATGATTTATACCCTCTTCTGCCTCCCCAGTTCAGACCTCTCGGAGTTTGTTCTTTATTGGAAGGTGGCCAGTGTGTGTGTGTGTGTCTTGGCTACTGTAGAGTCCTTTGCCCAGGTAAAGGGTGTTAACGCTTTCCTTGCGGATCTCGGGCTGGATCTCAGGATACCGGCTGGAGTATCACACCTGCTCTGAGCTGTTGCTGCAGTGCTCTGGAGCAGTGCTTGCCCTTGCCCAAGGAGATCAGGGTCGGTCTGTGATAGTTCTGTTATTTCTTGCCCTGTTCAGCCAGACTTCTGTTCCTTTCTCTGTTGAACAGGAGCGCAAAGGAACAGCAAAAGTAGATTTCCTGAAGAAGATTGAAAGAGAGGTCCAGCAGAAGTGGGAGCATGATCGAGTGTTTGAGATCAATGCTGCAGACAGGAAGGACCAGAGGAGGTATCGTTGTACTCGGTTTTTTACTGCTTGAAACGTCTTTTTATTCAAAATCTGGTGGGAGGAAAAGTGGCCCCTTTGTAGTAAGCAGTATTCATGGCTCAGCTGGAGGCACTTGCTCACACCTTGTTGATGTTTCTGTAGCTGATGACATAAAGCAGCTGAGTACGTGTGTGGCTGGGTTCCAGTGGGATGAGGGAAGCTTTTTCATTCCCTGGCAGTGCCAGTACCCTCTGTGTTCTGAAAAGCAGCTTCTCTTTGGTGACTCGTGCTGTTTGACATGGAGGAGGTTCCTCAGTGCTGCCCGAGCCCTCAGCACGGGGAGATTTCAGTGTGAGGGAAGGTCCTGCTGTGCCTCACAGAGCACGGCAGTGTTACACAAACCCCAGCTCCTGGCTCTAGCCCGGCCTCTGGTGCTTCTGTAGAACTGGAGGAAGGCCAGGTGTGGGGACAGTAGATGAGCCACCTTGGCCACCACTGCAGCCCCAGAGGGGCTGGAGCAGAGCTGTGGAAGGAGGAGCCTTTCACAGGTGCAGACAGGGGAAGACCATATGACTCTTGCTTTTATTTCTGCCCCACAGTAAACCCCGAGAAACTTGCTTATCCTCTGGGAATGCATAGTATGCTTGGAAGCACAGTTCCTCTGGAATTGGTGGGATCCAGACTCTTCTCAGCTGTGCAGAGGCTGCCTGGGGGAATGGCATTAATCCTGTGGGAAGGTCTCTGGCTGGAAAAGCAGTGACCTTGGCAGTATGGGGTTAATATTTGGTGTGTGGGAAAGTCAGGCTAAAGCAAGATAAGTAACTGAAGTGGTGTAACAGGTGGCAGGTTCTTAAATTGTAGATTTTGCAAGCAAACAAAGACTTGGCCTTTATTCCTGCATGTTAATGGACCAAGGGAATGTATGAGGGGAAGAGACAAGGTGTAAAGCAGAGTGCAAAGGTAGAAATTCAGTGTCCTAAATGTAAATATATTTTTAGCTGTTTTGAGAGCTCAGTTTCCAACACCATAATATGACCTTGAAACTTCCTCCAACGATATATCCCTGTGAAGGGAGTGATGGCTTGCAGTGTGCCCTTAAAATCTGAACTCACAGAGTGGGAGATTAAATAAATGAATTTAATCCTTTGCTGTAATTAATTTATAGAAGCAGGATTAGAATTTGTAACCTTTGGGAACATGCTATGTCTATTTCAATGTTTCTGTGTGGTGTTAGTCCTCTGTGGGTTTTTTCTTGGGTGTTTATTTTTTTAAGATGATAAAGCCTGTTAGTCTATCAGCTCTTTAAAATCAAAGACTCATGTTACTGGCAGGGGAGATATTTTAATGTCACTGTGGACTGATAATAGCTGAACATACCAGTTACCTCTTCTGCTCCTGTATTGTCTGATGGTCATTTACAAAGCTAATTATGTGTTTTAATTATTTGACTTTCTTCTCAGCAAAGGGAAGTACTTTGTTACCTTTCCTTACCCCTACATGAATGGCCGCCTGCACCTGGGACACACATTTTCCTTGTCTAAATGTGAGGTAAAACTCCTCCTTTGCTGATACCTTTAAATACTGCTCTAGAGTAAATGCTGATTTTGTAGTTCAGTTTTGACCTAACAGGATGCCATGTCAATTCCTTTGTAGCTTTAGTAATGACTTATTAAACTCTCCTTTTTTTCCCCACATTTTCAGTAGGAATATTGCTAGCTGAAGGGAAATTCCATTAATGTAATTTTTAATTTGATGAGATGGGGCTGCAGGTGTTTCCCCTGTTTGTTCTTTGAAATGAGATTTTTAGGAGATGCTGCTCAATGGCTCAACCTTCACAGGAGACCTGTCCCTTTTGTTTGTGCTTGCTGTGCTGTGTGCCCTGTGTGGGAGCAGGTTTTGGGTGCTAGGGGTGGGATTCCACAGCAGCCCTGCACCCATGGGTGTCTGGTGGAGCCAGCACAGGGGCAGGCCTGGAAACAAACTCGTGTTGCAGCTTCCTGCCAGAGCTCCTCCCCAGCTCTGTCACCTGCCAGGGGCTGCATGTTAGAGGAGGAGTCACCCCTGTGTTTGAGCAGCTGCTGGCTCAGCTGGGGCTGTTCCAGCTGTTCCAGCTGTTCTGTTTTCCCTGTCTGTAGTTTGCAGTCGGGTACCAGAGGCTGAAGGGGAAGAGCTGCCTGTTTCCCTTCGGGCTGCACTGCACGGGGATGCCCATCAAGGTGAGAGTTTTGCCCTTGTTCGGGGTTGTTTCTAATGGGTTTTTATCCCTAAGGCTGCTTGGAGCCTTGCTTACTGTCCATTCCCAATATCACCTTAGTTTATTTAAAAACTCACCAAGGCAGTGTGATTTGGAACCTGGATTTGTAATAAACATGTGTTGTGCTTGAGCTATAACATCACTTCACAAGATAAAGTGCTGGAAAACTAAATTTTACCTGTTGTATGTTTTCCTTTGCAAGAAAATCCTTGCAGTAAACCTCTTCCTGTCCTGGAAGGTGTTCTGGAAGTGGCTGGATCTCCTGGATGTTAATGCAAGGTCCAGAAAATGTTTAAAGCATGGAATGCAAAATGTTATCAGTAAAACCCAGTCCTTGGCTGTGATTGCAGTTATCAGCCTGGCTGACACACTCTTAATTACTCTGTTCAGGCTTGTGCAGATAAGCTGAAAAGAGAAATGGAATTGTATGGTTGCCCACCGGAATTTCCTGATGAGGAGGAGGAAGAGGAAGAAAATTCTGGTAAAAAAGAGGAAGAAATTATCATCAAAGACAAAGCAAAAGGCAAAAAGGTAAAGTTTAAACTAAGCCTTCCTGGACTGAGAGCTGTGCTTTCAAAACTTTGATGTGCACATTGTAGGCTTTTCCTCCTTTGGGCTCACAGAAACCTCAGCTGGTTGTAGAGAATAGCCCTGCTTTCTCAGAGGTAGAGGATGTGTATTCCTGCTCTTCTGGTTATTGTTTTTTAAGTTGGTATCTAGCCAGTTCTGTCTAGATAAGCTCAGTAAAACCATCCAAACTATTTTCACTTAGCAGTGATTTAAATGAGATTTAGCATTTTGGGAGTGTCCCAAAGCAAGGCAAAGAATCAAGCCTAGGAGAAGTTTAGAGATGCTCTGTATGTTTATATATGGTCAAGAGATGGTCCCACCAGAACTGCTGGGTTTGGGGTTCTGGCTGCTCTGCAGGACAGAAGGTGTGACCTTGTCTGGGTCACTGCTGGGGAGAGACAGGAGATTCTCAAGAGACAACAGCTGGGAAGAGTACCATGAGCAAAGTGACAGCAGCAAAGGTTTCTGGTACAGGGTGCAGGGCTATCCACCTTTCTGTGGTGCAAAAACCCATGGGTTTGAGCAGGGCCTTGACAGCAGGCAATTCCTTGCCAGGTTGTTGTGGCAGAGCCTCTGCAGGTTCTGGACATCAGCATGGAACAGTTGGGAAGAGGAGGGTTAGGGAATGAGCAGTGAATACAAGGTATGGCAGAGTGGAAACTGTGAATACAGGCTGTAGAATGGAACTCTAATCAATTGCCCTCACTGTTAGAGGGGGATGTGAGAATATTTGTATTAACTTGTGTATCTGGAATCAGCAACCATAACATTAACAGAGGCA